CTGCAGGGGGTACTGGTACGCGCCCCCAGCTTTCCAAGCAGTGCTGGCTCCCGTAGAAACCCTCCTGAGGAGCTGCCCGGGGTTGTGTCTCACCTGAGGGAGCAGTTTTGGTGTGTGTGGTACCCACGGACGGGGCTGCTGGGCTCAGAACTCGCACCCTGAAGCACAGAGACCTCGCTGTCAGGTTTAGACTCTGGCTGCGGCCCTGGTTTGGGTTTTTGTTATCAGGCACCGTTGCAGAATGCACACTCACCTTCTCCTCTTCTCTCCTTCCTCCTCCAACTTCAGAGCTGTTTGGGTCCCGGTTTATGCCCATTTCCAGCTCTCACCCAGGGGAAACATCCCCAGCAGCAGAGTTCCCATCCTCAGGGAGCCAGGAGAAGGCAGCTGGGAAAATGACAGGGAAAAAAGTGAACGAAGGAGGAGAAGATTTCTTTTTAATGTAACTTTTGACACAAATGTCTCTTTCTTCCCCCCCCCGCAGAAGAAGCTCACCCGGGAGTGCGTTTTCCGGGAGCAGTTTGAAGAGAACTGGTACAACACGTACGCCTCGACCCTCTACAAGCACCCCGACTCGGAGAGGCATTACTACGTGGCTCTGAACAAGGACGGCTCCCCCCGCGAGGGGTACAGGACTAAGAGACACCAGAAATTCACCCATTTTTTACCCCGGCCTGTGGACCCTGCCAAAATCCCTGCCATGTACAGAGACCTCTTCCACTACAGGTGATGTTTCCTGCCGCTGCCCCCTCAGTGTACATACTTGGGCTCCCAAGCTTTTTCCCAGAGCACTATATTAATAGTCATTCCATCATTCCTGTAAGCGTAGATGACATAGGAAAGCACTTACATTGAATTCAGACACTGCTGTTCCTCCTCGTTTCAAGCGTATATCGAAGCTGGGTTATTTATGGGGGAGGGGGTAGGGAAGGGAGGGAACCCTACGTATAATCTTTCATTTTCATTCAATTCCTTTACCCGGTTGCTGCAAGAGAGGCCGAATATTCAATGTTATGGTTGCTTAAAGGAACAAGCAGGTGAGCAAACCTGATCCCCAGGTGGGGAAAGAAACCAAAAACCAGCTAAAAATGAAGAGAAGGGAAGAAAACGGCCACAGAAGTGCTGCAGATGCTGCTGCTGAGCTCGGGATGGTTACCTGTGAGAAAAGAGCCTTTTGAGTGGTGCCCTGCTTTTAAGCAGCCCAGGAGTTTGCTACAAGGATGATGCTACGTGGACTGGTCCTGACGCGTGGGGGGTTTTTCCTGCTGTTGGGGTGGGAATGGGGCAAGGAACATTATTCAGATGTAAGCATGGATACTGTGCATAGGGACAAAACTATTTATAAAATGTATAT